GCATTAACCTGTATCTATAGTCAAATAATCTGTATTTATTAATTTCATGCACCATCCTAATCTTGACTCTAAGAGCAATATATTGAAATTTAGTTCATGCTTATATTCCCAGTGCTACTGACTACAAGAGTTGTTATATAGAAGTAAGTTATTGAGGCATTGATTCATTCATCCAATAATGGCTTTGATGAACAGCTATTTCTTTAAGCATTTGGGTCAGGGTTTTTAAAATACTGCTGAAGAAGGTACTACATAAATAAAACAAATAAGCAATGATCACAAAAAATAAAAGTATTATGAAGCCAGGAATTAATAAGTACTGGAATGAATATAAAGTGTTTGAAGGAAATTCCATATTACATAGAATAGTCAGAATAGAAATGTCTGTGGAAAGTATTTTGAGAAGAGATCTGATTGAGGCAGAGGAGAAAGTGATATTATTATGTGGCAGAATATATTTCTGGCAGATGAAGTCAAGAAATTATGTAATATTCTGCTTGAATAAGTAAACGAAAACAGTAAAAACATTCAGTATGACTGGAATTGGAAGAGAAGGATAAGAAATGCAGTTACAAAGCACGCCAAAGGCAAAACCTACATGCATTGTTATTAAGTGAGTGAACTGAAGATTTATGAGAGCCACAATCATGAAAGAACAGCAAGAGAAATGCATGGATTTGCTCACTTACTGTGATATAGTAATGAGACACGTGTAGAAGAAATAGAAAGCAAAAGAGCTGACATTTACTTCCATTAAGAAAGTTTCAATATATTTGGGAAGATCTATCACAAAGACATAAAGGTGAATAGTAAGTGGCACATCTGCATTTATAGCCATTTGGGGGCACAGGCAGGAGTATCAAGAGTTTGAAAATAGCCTAGGCAGACTAAGAGAACCCTGTCTTTAAAATAAGAACTTGAGACTGTAGCACAGTGGGAGTGCATTTCCTTAGCATGTGTGAGACCTTGGGTTCCATCCTCACTGCCCCAAAAGATATGATTGTAAATTTATAATGAAATTGTTTATCTCTATGAAATGGCTACAATCCAAAAAATTCAAATGAAAAAGAAAAGTCATAAAAAGTTCAATGAGACTCATTTTGTCTGGGTAAAATTTAAATGAAAGCTGAAGGCTTTCTTAGGATTATACAGTATGGATTCTGCCAAGAGAAACATCCAAACAATGCATGAGTTCATGGAAAACAAAGCACATGTTATTTGATACAAGATCATTTCCATCTAACTTTGAGGGAAATACCCAGGCGGTACTTTCAAAGCCAGGTGTGGAATACCACTCTCATGAAAATGTGAGCTTTAGCCAGATATGTGGACACTCACCTTTAATCCTAGCACTCACAAAACAGAAGTTGAAGCCAGCCTAGCTTACATAGCTAGTTCCAGTCTGGATATGGCTACAGGACAGCCTGTCTTAGAAAACCAAATGTGAACTTTGATCTTACGACTTTAAGGAGTGTTTGGATACAATGCTAGAGGAAGAAAACAAACTAGTCTATATTCTATATAGAAAGAGGCTAGGGGTGCTGGATAAATGGCTCAGTGGTTAAGAGCACTGACTGCTCTTGCAGAGGAGCAGGGTTCAATTCCCAGCACCCACATGTCAGCTATGAACTGTCCTTAACTCCAGTTCCAGGGGAATCTGAAGCCCTTTTCTGACTTCCGTGGCATTGCATGACATGGCTGCACTCATTTACATGCAGGCAATACACTCATACACATAAAATAAGAACAATAAATAAAATATAAAACAAAAAGAAAGAGGATAGGTAAGTAATCAGAGACTTGAATAGCTCTTAAAGGTCTGTGGAAAGTTAAGAAAACTCAAATAGTTTTCTAGTAATGATATTGAATGTCAGCTCAATGTAAATTGTTCTCAGAAAAACTCTTCAGGACAGTGTTCTACCAGAACTTTCAGAGATGTTCATAGAGGAAATCAATTGTTTTCCATTTCAACAGTGATGGCATAGCTTTTAAGGATTCTCTTGGAAGCTATATCACCTATTCATTTACCTAATCTTCAAAAACAGAGCTAACCTTGAAGATAAGTTGGAATTATGATTGATAGAGAAGCATTCTATCAGGGATTTACATTCATCTTTATGGACTGCAGATCAGTTCTACACACACACACACACACACACACACACACACAATTTCACATTTTATAATTTATTTTCATTTATGTGTTATATATGTATATCTGAATGACTATATATTCATGTTTGCAAGTATGCTCAGAGACCAGAAGATGTTGGATTCCCTGTTGCTGGATTTACAGGTGATTGTGTGTTGCCCTGTCTGGTTTCTGGGAATAGAAACACTGGCTGTCTGCAAATGCACCAAGCACTCTTAACCACAGGGTCATCTATCCAGCCCCGGAAATTGTTATTTTGTGTAGCATTTAATATAAATGACTATCCTTCTACTAATATTAAAAGGAAGAATGAGACTCATTTATTTGCCACTGTCCTAGAAATAATCCCATTGCATCAAACACACAAGAACAGATACTACTATATCCCAGTTTTACTCACTCACAGAAAACTGCTATTTGTGTGCATATACAGTTAGTTTGCTTTATTTTATTTGAAAACCCTTTGATTACTTGGAAATGTTTTCCATTCTTGTTATTCTCAAGGTTTTGTTTCATCCCATGCTACTGGTTTAAAACATGGCATTCAAATTAGCCAAGTTTTAATAATGACTCCAAACAGAGTACAATGATATTATTTCCTTTAGTGATTTTAGTGCAATCTTTATATTAATAGGCCAAAGTTTAATGTTTGAGAATCCATTTCACATCTCTGCCTAATATTAGGCTTGTATTAAGAATTTTCCAGTGTTTTACACATGAACAACTTGACATTCTTGTTCAACTTCCCTCCAAAACTTTAAGGATCATTTAAATACAAAGATGTTAAGGTCTGCACTTGGTAGAACAGTGTTAGCATCTATAGAATTTCAAAAAGGAAATCAGAATAGGACAATATAATTGTTAAAAGCTCAAAGTCACTTCCATTCTAGATATATTAGGAAGACTGGAGGGTTATGCTACTGAATCAAATGAAACAAAAAAAAATAAGAAGGAAGAGCAATAGGTTTTGTTTCAAAGCACAGGTAGTATAAGATTGGTCAACCGATCCTACTGATTAGACAGGATTCAGGGACAATCATGTGATGAGAAATTTTAATATCAAAAACCAGCAACTAATTTAAAAGTGTTGGAATCAAAGAAAAAGCGATCTGAGTAGATAACTTGTGATTAACACTTTTCCTCCTAAAACACTGATTATGAACAATTGGAGAATATTATAGTTTCATATTTCAATGAATCTTTTAAATCATTTAAAATCTTTGAAATTTAATTTCAATCGACATGACACAACACAATCTACTCAATCTCAAATATAGACATATATAGATGTATCTTTCTAGAAATCTTTTATTTCTGTTTTAAATATGCTTTCATAATGAATATATATTTTAAGGTCAATAAAATATTGTTATATTATCAGGTAAACTGTGGAACAGCCTGAACAGCTGCAAGGAAAACATTTTTATTAGTAAGTTAATAATTTTAGACCAGACCAAAAGGGACCATTATCCTTCTAGACGGCAACATATTGTTCTTTGGATAAGGTAAGCCATGAGCCCTTAATTGTAATGAAATATGCCTAATTAAATGAGATCAATTGGACATTGATATTCTTGTTGATGAAGTACTTGTTTACGTTGATTTTGAATGGTTCATGTAATTTCAGAAACAGTACTGTGCCCTGTCACAGACTATTTCCAAAGGATTTAAAACACAATAGCAAACAACTCCTTTGCTGTATTTTCATCTAATTTGGTAATTTTCTTAAATGATTGAAGAACAAAAAATAGGAAACATTGAAATTCTAAGAATACAAATTAAATACTTTAACTTGATTTGTATATAAAATTTGAAATGTTATATTTTATGTTTTATTTTTTAAATAATCAGGCACAATAAATCCTACTGAAAATTACAATAGATAATTCTTCCATTTAGTTGGAAAGCAAATAGTTTATACATTTTTAGTTATTTTCTTCTATAGTAACAATAAAAAGTTAATATAAGTAATATATTAAGAGCAAAAATAGCTAACATTGATATAGAGTTTTACCTTAAGTGAGGAAAATTGTAAGTGATGTTAGAATAAATATTTCTATCAGAAGAAATGTGATTAGTGTTGGAATCTGTAAAAGTATATACTTAGAGTGGAATACATAAAATGCAACCACATCAAGGACATGCACTTCAGGTATACAATTTAAATAATTTTTAGATCTCTTTACTCATGGTAAAATACAGACATATATGGAATGAAAATCATGAGGAAAATACAAAACATATTTAACATTATTCTAAAAATATTTGCTGAGTGCTATAAATGCCACTTAATCTTTTTTATTATGACAATAGCTTGGGAAGTCTCTATAAAATGTATAACTATTCTGTATATCTAAATATGTTGCCTTGATATGGACATTACTATTAGTTCAGGAATGTAATATTTACTATATGAATAAATAAGATTACTATCCACAAATCATAAAGAAAGAGCTATGCTGTTTTTAACAGTCTATGGTCGAGCTGTTAAAAGAAAAATCCAGAAGTTAGATTTAAAAAAAAATAGCGGTAGTGGAAATGAATAGAAAAAATTGGAATAATGAGAAAAATGAAGAAAAATTGGTTTATGTACTATTTAAAATCACACACAGTAAATATCTATATTTTCTAGAAAGTATGAAATCATAAAATATAATAAGGTCACAAATACCTTGAGATTTACCTTGAGATTATCAGGTAGTATAATATATCCCATAATAATCAATAATAATGCATCAAGCACATAAGTTATTTTAAAGACTATAAAGGCTCAATTTCATCATAGTAATTATGTTCTTTTTGATAACACATTGAATACCTATACTATTTACACATTAAATATCCTTACCATTGTGTAGCTGTGGGCCACTTTCATTAATTCAATGCACCCTTGAGCATCTGCAAATGCCCGGATTCCTAAACAGTTGGATGGATGCAGAAGCTTCCTGAGGAAGTGGCAGCACACTTCTACTACTTGAGGAAGCTGAAGAAGGCAAGCAGCTGCAAGAAGGTTTTCAATAGTATCTTCCTTTAATTCCAAGCACCCTAAAACATATGTGAAGAGAACATTATTCACAACATTAGACTAATGTACCAGAAAGTAAATGAGCCCCAATTAACAATCCAGATACACATAATTCTGACATGACCAGAAACTGTTTTAAACATTTTGCATTTATTTCATTTAATGTTTAAAATCACCGAAGACATATAAAGGTATATTCAAATAAAAATCTAGATAAGTTTTATGCTACTTATGCTTCTTTTGTTTTAATATTTTAAAAATTGTTAGTGATACAGGTCAGTTGGTAGAGTACTTGACTAATAAGTGGAGAGCTGTGGTTTTGATCCCCAACACTGCATAAGCTAGGCATAGTTAGCAAAGACTAGAATGCCAGTTTTGAGGTGGTAGGGAGGTAGAGGCAGGAGTATCAGATGGTCAAGATATAAAGAAGGAAAAAAAAGAGGGATTCACTTTACTTTATATATGAATATGTAATATGTTAGTTTGTATGCTCAAAATATGTGAACAATTTGCTTACATATGTGATGTAGATTGTTATTTACTGAACTCTATTTTTAAGTTTATAATTAATTATCTATAATATTTTTTCTTTTTCTTTTTTTTATGGTCCAGATTTCATAACCCTAAAACATGAACACTTCTGTGTTTCTACTTGTGGAATCACTGAAGAAAACAGGGGTATTTGTGGATTGTTTAAGGCTTATCTCTGAATATTCTGAATTAAACATCTGAAGTCAGATTTTAGTTATTCAAGAGAATTAATGGATTTTATTACAGACTTTCCATCTATAGCTGAGTAAATTTTGATAATTCGTAGCCTCAAAATGGTGTATTCATTTTTTTCTTTTTTATTTTTGTTTGATAATTTCATTCGTACATATAAACTTTTGATAACATATTTAATTAGTATATTTTGACCTTTGCTGTTCTTTACTACCTCCTTCCACCTTCCCTTTTTTCCCCTGCTCATATACACTTCCAACATCTTGTCCTCCTTTTTTTTTTTTGTTTCTATTAACTCCCTGATCCAGTTAATGCTGCTTATATGTTCATGGGCATGGGGCTAACCACTGAGGTGTAGGCAACCTTCTAGCTGCCATGGCCCGAAAGGAGAGTGATGTTCTTTCCCTCAGCAATAATCCACTGTGAAGAACAACTTTATCAAAAAGTAAAACACAAAAACTGTGTTAATCCAACTATATGGAAAATAGTAATTGTCCTAGAAATGGTAGGTTTGTGTCTTGAATCAAAACCTAGTCACTATTTTGACTAATGATATTAAGCAACAGAATATAACAATATGAAAATGTTGACATCTATGATTATTATAACAGAGCCTAATTCAAGCATTATATGCATGCATATCTTCAAAAATATTGCCACTATATAAGGCCTTTTGAAGATCTTTTCAAATTATATAATAAAGTCTTCAAGAAAACTTAAATATATTGTCTATACAAAAACATTTTGAAAATTAGATAGTAGTGCTAATGTTAATGTGATGTTTTTATAGGCGCTGATTTGAGAATATCAGGTGAATGCATTACTTTAATTTTGTTTTGTCTCAGTAGAACTTGTATACAGAATAATCAGGATAGCAGGCCGTGACTGATATCCCTGAAAAGAACTACTTACAAGGTTTCTCCCTGGCTGGTGTCTGAGACCTTCAAAGTAGGGAGAACTTTCACCGTTCAGATATGTACACGCTGTCTCCGAATATTCCGTACTTAGGACAGATGCCTATTTATTTCTGGTATTATGAAGCACTGGTAACTGGTACATTCTCATTACAGGTTGCTTACTTGACCAGGCTCTAATGAAACTTCAGGTTATTCAGTCTCTAATGAAATTCCCTCTGTGTAAAAGTTTACACACTTTATCACAAATAAGTGCACTATCGTAATCCATGGACCTGTGCAGGGAGAATGCATTCTTTTTATTTGGAATTCATGTCATGGGTCTTTGTCTTTTCCCTATTTTTCCTTATATCCTTTCTGTAATAATAAACCATGGCCACTGTGATGACTATAAACAAGGTCTGGTGAGTTATCCCAATAACCATTGAAATATGGAATGAGGGTTGGGAATTTTCTAGAAGAGTTTTATAAGACTTGGATTTCTGGGATTAAAATCAATACCTTCAATATTTTAATTGAACACAAATATATCTGTAGCAGCTGCAGTTATGTGAAAAACATTCAAGAAACTATTTCTGGAAATTTAAAAATTGTTTTTATAATTCATATAAAGCAATAATCCTAGTCTATTGAACCTCTTAAAATAAAAAAGTGACAGTAACAACATTTTTAGATTTATTGCAAGGCTAATACAATTAAACCTTTATGAGATTGGTCATAAAAAGACAAATAGACCAAAGAAAATGTAAAAAAAAAAAAAAACTGACTAGAAACAAGCACACACACACATACAGACAAAAGGTGTATGGAAAGGAATGAAAGAAATTGACTTGAGAACAACATAATCACTGAACAAATTAAATATCCATGTGCAGACATACACCAGAGTCTACAGACCACACAATACACAAAATTTATTGATGAAAGAACATCGAACTAAAATTTAAACCTTGTATTATAAATATTTTATAAAACTGAAAGAAAATCATTGTGACCTTAATTTAATGAAATAGTTTAGACAAATGTCAAAGTACAATCCTCAAAGAACAGATTGGACTACATGAAAAACTCTTCAAGTGACACTATTTAAAGAATAAAAAGTTGACCTTAGACTGGGAAAATACTTAAAAAATATAGAACCTATAAATTATTATGTCCAGAATATGTAAAGACCTTACAAACACAATAATAAGAATGAGATTAAAAAGTCAATAAATGATTTCAGATGACAATTTTCAAGCACAGGCCTTTGGACACGAATGAGTGGACATTACCATATGTTGTTGGCAATCCTGCTGCTGAGAATGTGAAGGACCACAACTACTTTGGGAAATGACTTTGACCATTCACCTCTTACATTACTCAGCCATTGTACTCTCAAACTTTTCCTTAAGCAAAATGATAATGTAGTCTCATAAATTCCTGAACGTAAATGTCTGTAGAATTTATTTAGCAGTGTGGAAAGTCTATAAGTATCCCAAATGCTTATTGATAACTACTGAAACAAACTGGACTACAACTATGCAATGAAAAAACTCTCATAATTATAATGAAACAAATTTTGAAACCGATAACATTATTACTAATCAAGCTGGCTGAAAAGAAATGATGCAGATTATAAGAAAATTTTCCTGAAAATAGTATAAAATTCAAAATTCATTTCATTCCAAACCTGGAAAATTCAAAGTAATATCTTACATCAGAAACTAGATCTTTAGTGACTGTGTATTTGTTTGGAATAAAAAGAGGAAAGAAAGGTGATTACAAAAGGGCATAAGAAATCATGGGTGCACATAGATAGATTTATTGAAAATTTATGAATATATAAAAATGTCAGATTTAGAAATTATGTACCATACAAATAAGAAAACTGTTTGTTTTGGTTAATTATTATTGATTTGAATGAGGGTTTCCTGTGGCCCAAGCGGGTTTCAAACTCACTGTGTAGTCACAGCTGCTCTCAAATTCTTCTTACTACTCCATCTTGGAAGTGCTGGGATTGAAAGTGGAATACCCCAAAACACAGCCATACACATACACACACAAACACACACACACACACACACAGTTTATGGTCATTCTTCATTGATACAAATTTTAAAAGAATATCCAAATCTATTTTACAAACACATTTAACTCTGATGAATTGAGTTGGAAAGTTGCTATGATATATGACTCCTAGTTTAGCCAAATTGTGAGTTATTTGTAAAAGTTTCTCTAAAAATTTACAATATCTAGATCTTATTTTTAGTTCCATAAAAAGTCCCTAATGTTGCTATTATTTATCTTTCATGGGACACAAATTTTAAAAGTAAATCTACAAATGCAAGCCTGTCACATAGAATGGAGACACATGTGTTTGAGTCTGCTTATCATACTTTTTCAGGTCAACACTTGTAATAGTTGATGACCATATTAACTGAAGTCAGAAGAACTCTGGAAATTATGGAAATTTAGCTTTAGGTGTGATTGTGAGAACATTTCCATTATCGCTAAATGGAAAATCTGCAAGGAATTTAGAAAAAACCATCTCATGGTAGAATGAAAGATGAAAGGAGAAAGCCAGGAAGAGCAGGCATTCTCCCTTTCTCTAGTTTCAAATTCCTATTGTGTGAATTCATCCATCATATACTGTGTGCGGTGAATGACTTAAGTCTCTGAAACATGAAGTCACAAGTTATCCTTTAAATCATTTCTTTCAGGTATTTTGTAATGACTATTTAAAGTTAACTAACACAACACTTGGAAAAGCTTATAGATAATATTTCAGAGTAACATCTACTATGTAAGGTATATAATTTTAAAACCAAGATGATTATTGAAAACCTAGGGTAGCATTAAACTCCATAATAATTTAGATAGAGCCATGGCAAAACATCTCCACATAACTCTGTAAAATAAGATTATTTTACATTTTAGAGGCCTTATTTTATAGTTTTTGTTTTTAATTTTTTATTTCTTGGACCTTCGAGACTTGGTCTCCCTGTAGCCCCAGCTGTCCTGGAACTCATTATGTAGACCAGGCTGGCCTTGTACTCACAGAGATTCACCTGCCTCTGCCTCTCAAGTGCTGGGATTAAAAGCATGTGCCACCACGCCCGGCTTGTTTTTAATTTTAACTTGCTGTCAGTTGATACAAAAATGTGCAACAGGAGTTGTAGAGAGGCTCAGGTATTAAGAGTGCTGACTCTCTTACAGAGGACCTAGGTTCAGTTCCCAGGATCAACATGGCAGGTAAAAACTATCGTAACACCAGTTCCAAGGGATTCAATGCACTCCTCTGACCTTTGCAGGCATTGCATTACATGGGTGCACTTACATACATATAAGAATTACATTCATACACATGAAAAACTTAAAACAAAACAAAATAAGAAAATGTA